GCTTCAAAATATTTATTGTGCTCAATCTAAAATACCCAGATCCGTGCTGTCTCGTTTGGACATTTATTCAACAGCATTTCTTTGATTTGAATTTAAAATCTGACTTAAAAAACAGAATTCTTTCTGAGCTATTGAATGACTTAAAAAACACCTCCATCAGTAATTTAAGTTAAGATCTTCTTTTGTGAAAATGATTTCATGTAAAATTTGTTACTTACGCTTTGACACAGTTGATCTGTTTTTGTCGCATACAAAGGAAAATCACACTTTAGTTCCTATTCTAAGTTTACCTTGCTGCTATTCAAATTGTTTTCAAAGCTTTTCCAGCTTCAAAAGTTTTTCTGCACACATTAAAAAAGAAGCCCTTAAATGCATTTCCCATGTAGAAAATCAGGTTGAAACTCCTTTTGAATTTTCTGAGAACGACGCGTTTAATAATTTAAGTAGTGCAACATGTATTTATGTATTTCAAGAAATATTTAAAAGCAGTGCAGACAATATAATACATTTTTTAAGTCTCGAAGTCGAGTGCGAGTACTCTCCTCATCTTGGCAGCTTTAAAAAGGTTAAATATAAAGAGTTTAAAGTGATTCCCTTAAGTGTGTGCAAATTTCCTCCAATTGAGTACCATTTTATTAATAATATATTTTACTTAAAACCAAAATGTTACTTTTGAAATGTATATCAACTAAGTAAAACATTTGATTAATAATATTCTTTACTTAAAACCAAAATGTATACAAACTATGTAAAAGATTTTATTAATAATATTCTTTACTTAAAACCCAAATGTTACTTATAAAATGTATACCAACAGAGTAAAACAAAAACATTTATAAATGAGTTATGAAGCTGTAAATATGTGTATATAGTTATTATATTTTTCAATAAAATATAAATGTGAAAAAAAATATTTTAGAAATAAATTTCTAAAATTTAGAAAAATGTGTAATTAATTTTAGAAATATTTTTCTATATTTTGAAATGAATTTTATTTATTTTAGGGATGGTTGCCCTAGATTTTAGAAAACTATTTCTAAAATCGTGGAAGAAGCCATTTTATATAGAAATATTTTTCTATATTTAAGAAATACTTTCCTATATTTTAGAAATGTTTTCCTATATTTTAGAAATATTTTCCTATATTTTAGAAAGTGGTTTCTAGTTTTTATGGCTTCTAGCCCTAGATTTTAGAAATATTTCGACAATATTTTTAGAAAATCCTTACCCTAAAATTTAGGGCGAGCTTGTCTTGAAGACAAAAATAGGGCGATTTCCTTGACTTTAGGGTTAATTTTATTTTGAGTGTATTATAAGTACAACTAATCATAAATCAAACTATAATCATGTACACAAATAAATCAATAAAAAAACAAGAAAGGAAGCTACCTTCGGCCAGCCGAAGCTTATATACCCTTGTAGATAAAAGAATACTCACTCGGTGCAGTTCCAGGGATTCCAGATTCAGCGTTTCGATTTATTTCAATTTTGTTTTTAAGTAGTCAAGAATCAAAACGCCTACTTCCTACAAAGTTACAATGAATTTTCTTATATTTGTTTGGGAGCCTTAAGATATAGTGGTCCGATCCGGCTAGCTCCGACATATGTACTACCTGCAATAGAAAGAAGACCTTCGGGAAAGTTTCATCGCGATAGCTTTAAAACTGAGAGACTAGTTCGCATAGAAACGGACAGACGGACAGACGGACGTGGCTAGATAGACTCGGCTATTGGTGCTGATTAAGAATATATATACTTTATGTGGTCGGAAACGTCTCCTTCACTGCGTTGCAAACATCTGACTGAAATTATAATACCCTCTACAAGGGTATAACAAGTTAAGTCCAAATTCAATAGACTAAAATAAACTAGTTTAATAATTATTTAATAAATAAATGCATAATTATAAAAAAGCAATTTTCAACTATTTTAAAATATTTCCAGCGTCTGATTAGGCCGTACAACAAAAGATCGTAATAACTATTAATTGAGGAAATTATTTAGTCACTGAATCACGTATGGGTAATTTTATGTCCCAGCCGATATTACAACCATTTAGCGAATACCAGAACCCGATCTCCATGGAAACCAAAATGCTACACTTGAATTAAATCTCCCTGACAACCAAATTCTTTAGCCCAAACAAAGAAAATATTTTGTTTTGTAGTTGTAAAAAATATTGACGGAATGAAATTACGAACCAGGATCTGCAAGAAAAGCTCCATACAAAATTCGGAGGCTTCAGAGGAGGCCAGCAAAAATGTGGCAAATTATCCACTGAGTTGTGTGGATTGGAGCAGCAATGAGGAGATATATTTTGTGAGGTGAGTGGCTTTCAGTTGATAGCTGTGAAAAAATGATAATTGATTTATATATCCCATAGCGACGACCACCAGATCCTCAAATGGAGCGATGTGAGTCGGGACTCTGTGGAGGTGGCCAAGCTGCCGGATGACTTTGTGCCCACCGACCTGCACTGGCTCCTGTTGGGCGGCAGGAGCAGTGGTGGTGGCAAGGGCAGCGACACCCTGCTAATCTGCAGTAATGACGGAAGGTTCGTCATCCTGAACAAAAGTGCCCGCGTGGAACGGAGCATTTCCGCCCACGGAGCGGCCATAAGTTCGGGTCGTTGGAGTCCCGATGGAGCTGGTCTTCTCACCGCCGGCGAGGATGGAGTGATCAAGATCTGGTCACGATCGGGTATGTTGCGATCCACCGTGGTGCACAACGAGGAGGCCATTCACTGCGCTCGTTGGGCGCCCAACTCCACCTCCATTGTTTTTTGCCAGGGCGGACACATATCCATCAAGCCACTGGCGGCCAATAGCAAACTTATAAGGGTATTTTATAAAATATTATCTACTTAAGTTTAGTGAGAATATTTCAGTAGCCTTAAATTTATATTACATTTTCCAGTGGCGTGCCCACGATGGCCTCGTGCTCTCCCTCAGCTGGTCCACTCAATCCAATGTCATAGCCTCCGGTGGCGAGGACTTTCGCTATAAGATCTGGGATGCCCAGGGAGCCAATCTGTTTACCAGTTCCGCCGAAGAGTTTGCCATCACGTGTGTGGCCTTTAATCCCGAGAAGGATTACCTGCTGGTGGGCACATTTAATTTGCTCAAATTGTGCCACAGCAATGGGGTGAGTCCTCATAGGATATCAGATTTATGGTGCTAAAATCATTGATTCCGATTGAATTCCATTCCAGTGGTCCTACAGCAGCGCTCGCTTCACAACTCCCAGTGTGGGCTCCTTCTTTAACCTATCCTGGTCAACAGATGGCACTCAAGTGGCCTGTGGCACCTCCACGGGTCAGTTGATTGTGGCCTATGCCATCGAGCAGCAGTTGATCTCCAGGAACCTCAAGGCAACCAGTAAGAGTCGCAAGTCGATTGCCCTGAAGGACATTGCGACTGGCACTCAGGATCTCCTGGATTTTCCGCAGAGAGTGGTTAACTTCGGACTAGGCTATGGGCATCTGGTGGTGGCCACCACCCACCAAGTGCACATCTACAATGAGAAGTACATCAATACGCCGATCATTGTCGATGGCAGGAATGACACAAGGGTGATTGAAGTGGGCAAAAAGTGGGTTTTCTAACTTGTAATTTAAAGGAAAAGAATTAAATATTCTACTTTTACTTCAGGTACTTTATGATCTTGGATGCCTCGTCAATTTGGGTCTACACCTACACGGGTCGTTTGCACCTGAATCCGCGATACCCGGGCTCCCAGGCGCAGATTCCGCTGCTCACCTGGCGATCGCTATCCTTGGGCCTCGATGTCCTGGCCGTTAGGGATAACTCCGATCCCACTTTGCTGCACCTTTTCGATCTGATTCCGGGTGCCTCGCGACAGTATGATCCCCATTCGCTGAGGGCCAAGCAGCAGCTGGCCGAGATTGCAGCCTGTCGAGCGGGAACTTCGGAAGATCAGTTTGTGGCCTTTATCGACTCCAATCGCGAGCTCTTTGTGAGTGGAACCCGCAATCTAAATGGCGACCGCACGGATGAGATCTACAAGATCGGCACCCAGCTCACCGCGATCATGTGGGCCAGCGAAACGAACATCCTGGTGGGAGTGCACGACTCTTGCTACAGCATATGGTATTGTCCCGGCGAGGGTGCCGCCGATCCCACGATTATTGCCCTGACCACTGTTACATTGGATACGGCGTAAGTAATCTATATAACATTAACCATAAACTGAGAAAACACGCCAAACTTTATCACTATATTTTCTCGAAAAACTATCAATTTAAAAAAAATGTAGATAGGGAAATGTTGATTCTTAAATTGTTTGATTATGCTGAAGAATTCGCTTTTAATCTATTTTTTTCTAGGGAATTTGGCAAGAACATTACCATCGAGAGCTTCGAGGATGCGGTGGTCACTTTCCGCTGCGCCGGCGCCCTGCTCCCAGTCAATGTAAACATGTACTGCGAGATCCTGCATCGCGCCCTTCTCGAGGGTCAGTGGCAGCAGGCGCTGAAGATTTGCCGGATGGGGCAGCATGCCAGCTTGTGGGCCACTCTGGCGGCGGTGGCCACCAGGAAGCACCAGTTGCAGATCAGTGAGGAGGCCTACGCGGCGGCCCTGCAGATCGACAAGGTGAGCTACCTGCAGCATCTGAAGACCCTGACGCCCTCGAGTGCGGAGCAGATGGCCGAGAACTCACTAATGCTGGGCAGGATGCTGGAGGCGGAGACGATCCTGCTGCACGGCAAGAAAATCGAGCAGGCCGTGGGTCTGTCTCTGCGGATGCACAACTGGCGGAGAGCCCTGGAGATCTCCCAGAAACACAAAATGGAGGTGCCGGACTTGATGCCGCGGGTTCTGCAGGAAAGGAGCAAGTATCTCAAGGCCCTGCAGCGGGAGGAGTGGGATCCACTCTACCTGCCTCATGTTGTTAAGGAAGAGGCTGACCATCTAAGTGAATAAAGTATCCATCCAATATAAAGTATAATTTTGTCAGTAGGAAATCAAAGAACCAAAGAAATTATTCTAAATATTTATTCCAGTGTTTTTATAAGTTTAATGAACTCTGGTACTTTTTAGTATGCCGGTGATAGCATGGGCTCACCAGCCAGTCCTCGGAGCACATTGTGGGATGCCAAGGTGGCGGCGTCGATACGCGTTCTCCTGGTGGCATAGCCCACATGCGGAGTGACCACTGTAAGGGAAGAAACAAAAAAAATATAGTTGAGTGCACTATGATAATGGAACTTGCAAGATAAGAACTTAAAGTGTCAGGGGATGTCAAAAACGTTAAAGCATAAGATTAGAACAGGTATTCTTATTAAACTAATAAATCAAATGATCAAATTATAAACTCACCAACATTGTCCAGTGCCAGTAATTTGTCTTTGGATGGCAGAGGTTCAGGATCCATAACATCCAAGCCAGCTGCAAAGATTCTGTTCGATTTCAAAGCATCGTACAGGTCATCCTGATTTACGATTTCTGCAAAAGCAAAATCATTTAGTCACAAATAAATCGTTTTAAATACAGAAATACTTACTGCCCCTTCCAACGTTGACCAGCACAGCTGTTTTCTTCATTTTATTAAAGGCGGTGGCATTGAACAAACCCTGTGTTTCCTTGTTCAGAGGGGCTGCAATGACCAGGAAGTCACTCTCCCCCAGAAGAGTATCGAAATCCACCTTCTTGGCGTTGAACTTCTCCTCGATCTCCTTGCTGACACGACTCCGGGTGGTGTAGAGCACACGGTCGATATCGAATCCGGACAAACGCTTGGCCACCGCCTGGCCAATTCCTCCGAAGCCGTAGAAACCCACGGTGGAGTCTCGGATGTCCTGACCCAGCATCCAGTTCAGATGGTCCTTGTCCCAGTTGTCACTGGAATTGTACAATGTTAATATTAAAAGATCATATTAAAACTTAATCTTAACAAATTAAAGATACTTTTTTTAGTTTTACCTGTCGATCTTCCTGCGGCCCTCTTGAAATCTCCGAGCCGCGGCGATCAGTAGACCCACTGTCAAATCTGCAACCGCAACCGTTAGCATCGCAGGAGTACTTCCCAGTGGAATTCCCCGCCTCTTCAGCTCCGGCACATCCACGTTGTTAATCCCCGAGGACATGGTGGATACCGCTTTAAATTGTGGCCCAGCAGCATCCAGAATCTCGGCATTGAGGATATCTCGACCGCCCCAGATGGCGGCATGTACGCCCTTGATCTTCTCGAGAATTTCGATCCGATTTTGTGGTGGCTCACTTTTCACTTGAATAACTTCGCATTTCTCCCTTAAGATTTCTATGCCCTCTGGAGGAACATCGGTATGCGCGATCAAAACTTTGTAGGGCTTATTTGTAGACATTTTTTCGGTGCTTCAAAAAAAAAGATATTATTTAATAGTTGAAATATTTACAAGTGTCACGGCGCGCACTTGATAGATAATCGCTGTGCAGAGATTTCCCAATTATTCTCTTCTCATGTGAGCAATTGAATAAAGAGCTTTCTGTTTTAGCTTTCCGAATTATATTCTCTTAACTCACTTCGAAACTCTTAAAGTGGCAAAATTGTTTGTTAGCACTAAAGATTTTTGCTCCGCGTTTGTTTGACGACTGACAAAAAACTGACTATGGTAGCACTCTTTTATAGAGTTCCAGATATCGCAAACACTTATCACCTGAAAAGCTGACAGCGAAATTAACAGAAAGCTTTTTTGAAAAACTTTCTTTCATAAAATGATAACAAATAATATGTTCTTAACACAATTATAACTGAAATAATTAAAACACAAATTTTATAATTTGTACTAAATTTGCAATTTATTTGTGTAATATTTAATAATTTCCGATTTGAGTTAATATTGGTCATATAGTTTCATACACTTCCTCAGTATGCAGGCCTTATCATGGGCTTTCCCTCGATGCCATTCAAGATATTATTGGCAGCTAGCAAACTCATCTCAATGGTAGTCTTCATCGTCTGAGTGCCCATATGGGGAAGTATAACTGCAGAAAAATAAATTAAATATATTGCAGCCTGAAAAATAGCTAAAGACTCGATTCCAACTCACCACAATTGGGCAGTTTGAGAAGAGGACTATCGGCTGGCAGTGGTTCTGGTGTGGTGACATCTAAGCCGGCGGCAAAGATCTTGCCAGTTGTCAAGGCATCATGCAGATCGGGTTGATTTACAAGACCTTAAAATAAAGAATAATGTTAATTTCATACTGAAATTATCTATTTTTGAGTACCTACCCCCTCTGGCCACATTGACAAATACCGAACTCTTTTTCATCAGCTCAAAAGCCTTCGCACTAAACTTCTCCCTGGTTTCGTTTGTAAGTGGAGCTGCTACCACCAGGAAATCACTCTCCTTCAAAAGGGTCTCGAAGGTCACGTGTTCAGCCTTGAAGTCCCCGTCGTTTTCCTTTCGGGTGCGAGTGTGATAAATGATCTTAGCCACATCCCAGCCCTGCAAACGCTTGGCGATGGCCTGACTGATGCCGCCAAAACCAAAGAATCCGATGACCGAATCACGAATTTCCTGGCCCATCATCCAGTTGATCTGCTCGATTTTCCATTGCGACCTGAAAGATAATTGTACCATTTATTTATTTATTTATTTATTGAGAACTTTAATATAAGTTTAGTATTTTAAAGATACTTATCGAGAGACTAAACACCTAAGGACTTCTACTAGATAGGGTATGGAATACCTGGTTAGTTGGCAACCCTTATCCAAAAAGCTTTATGTTTGGAAAGCTTTTGGGGACAAAAGCCCCAATCAGCTGTTCTCTTACCTCTCGATTTCTGTGCGTCCAGCGTGAAAATGACGACCAGCTGCAATCATCAAACCTATGGCGAGATCGGCCACAGAATTTTTCACCACCCCAGGAGTATGACCCAGGGGAATCTGCCTCTTCTGAAACTCTGGAATATCCACGTAGTCGAGTCCCGAGGACATGGTGCTTACGCAACGCAGCTGCGATCCGGCAGCATCCAGAATTCCAGCATTCAGGGGCTGATAGTGAGCCCAATAAATGGCATCCACTCCGGGCACTTTCTTCAGGATCTCCTCCCTTGAAGGTGGAACACTCTGGCAGATGATAGTTTCCGCCCCGCGAGATCGCAGGAGTTCCAAAGCCGGAGTCGGGACATTCGGATGCGAAATGAGGACTTTAAAGGCACTTGTCGCACGAGACATATCGAAGGAAAATATATGTGGGATTTAGCTATCAACTATTGGCGGTCGGCTGCAGCGCCAAACTGTTCAGTGGAAATTTCCCCACTTAGAACACTTTTCAAGCTTTTTCTGTTCGCCCTCTCTTAAGTTTTGACTGTGCTCTTCAGCTCTTTGATTTGCTCTTATTTTGGCATGCAAATTATAGAACTTAGTAATTCTTGTTGTACAATGAGGGTTCGTAAATAAAATTCAAATTACCCTCAAAAATAAGCATACTGTGATGAAAATAATCAAATATATAGGCGATATTTATTTGTTTTTATTATAGTAATATTTTTTTGGTATTTTTAAATGCTCTTTAAAGAGGTATTCAAACTATTTATTTTGAAAACATTTTCAGGGGTCCAAATAGTATCTGAAATTATTAAGATATTACGTTTAAAAAACCGTAAAATTATTCAAGAGATTTTGGAAAAAAAAAACCTGTTAAGAAAAATAAAACAAAAATTCGTATTCATAATGTGCTTCCTAATCACTAACATCGATAAGAGAATAATCCAGCTTAGTCCATATTAATAAATCAATCGGTCATATAAACATCGAATCGCTAATTTTACTTCCAACGGTATCAACATTTTCCATCCCTGAAATCAATGACCAACCATATTTAAATTAAGCACTTTGCACTTGTTGTTTTTTCCAATTATAATTTTTATTTTCAAATCTACAAGCATGCCAAGGCCGCTGGTGGCCTTTCACACTTCGCCGGGCAGGCTTCCCACACCGGTTAAAGCTAAAAAGCCATTTTCATTTTCCAATGGAACTTCCTAGTAGGCGGGCGACAGCATGGGCTCCCCGGCCAAGCCGCGGAGTACGTTGTGGGCAGCAATGGTGGACATATCGGCACGGGTGCGCCTCGTGGCGGATCCAATGTGGGGCAGGACAACTGAAAGTTAGGGACAAACATCAAGTGGTTAGTTTGAGTTTGAAGTAAGATAAAGCAAAGCTAGATAACCAGTTTTAATAAATCACTAAAAAAGGGAGCATTAAAGGTCGAAGAGGACGTGATAAAATATAGAAAGAAAAAAATTCTACCTCTTATATTTTGTAACCTTCAAGAAACCTTAACAAAATCTCTCCGAAATACTTTTAGACATTGTCAACTACTAAGCAGATAAGACGGAATCTCTATATTGATAAGACTCCCAGAAATACGAGTATTTCCTAGGTGGGGGCCTTAAAAGCAAGTCAGACTGATATCAATAGACCGAACTTATTTTGATTGTCCCACTCACCGGCATTGTCGAGCGTCAGCAGCTTGTCCTTGGGCGACAGAGGTTCCGGATCCGTGACGTCCAGACCGGCGGAGAAGATTCGGTTCGACTTCAGGGCCTCATAGAGGTCATCTTGGTTGACAATTTCTGCGGGGGTTAAACGGACCATTTAAGCTCTGTCAAAGTCCATTGGGTATTTGAAACTTACTGCCCCTGGCAATGTTTATCAGCACAGCGGTCTCCTTCATCTTGTTGAAGGCGGTGGCATTGAAGACACCCTGGGTGTCCTTGGTCAAGGGGGAGGCGATCACAATGAAGTCACTGTCGGCCAAAAGGGTATCGAAGTCGACCTTCTTGGCATTGAACTCCTCCTCGATCTCCTTGTGAACACGACGGCGGGTGGTGTACAGCACCTTATCAATGTCGAATCCGGACAGACGCTTGGCGATGGCCTGGCCAATGCCTCCGAAGCCATAGAATCCCACGGTAGAGTCGCGGATGTCCTGGCCAAGCAGCCAGTTAAGGTGGTAGTTCTCCCACTGGTCGCTGTTAAATTGCAAAATAATATATATTACGAAAATTTATTTAAAAGTATTTACAGTTTTCATTAGCAGCATGTTTTTAGTTTTTGAAAGAAATTTAAAATTAATATCGTTTTCGAGAACAAACCTAGTTAAAACTGTTCGCAACCTACACCAAAAAAAATCGATATTTAAGATCACTTTTAATTTGATATGAGGCCAGGAAAATTTGACCTGTTCGATAAGTGTGTTTCATGACCTGAAATTTACATGGCCCTATCGATATTACGGGAACATGTTTTTTTTTTGTGTAGCAATCCATTTCTAAGTGGGTTTCTAAGTGTTTTTAAAGCGTAGAATTTATAATTTATCCAAGGTTCGTGGAATATTTAAAATTTTTCTCATTCAAGCACTCACTTGTCGATCTTCTTGCGTCCCTCGTGGAAACGGCGACTGGCGGCGATCAGGAGACCCACTGCCAAATCGGCCACGGCGGTGTTCAGGACGGTGGGCGTGTGACCCAGCGGGATCTTGCGCCTCTTGACCTCCGGCACATCCACGTAGTCGATGCCCGCCGACATGGTGGAGATGGACTTCAGCTGGGGACCGGCAGCATCGAGGGCCTCGGCGTTGAGGGGCTCATGTCCACCCCAGAGGACGCCGTCGACTCCGCGGATTTTCTCCAGAAGTTCCGCCCTGTTGATGGGAACGCTCTGCACCTGGACAACCTCGCAGTTCTGCTTGAGCAGATCGATGCCCTCCTGGGGAACCTCGGGATGTGTCACCAGGACCTTGAAAGCCTTGCCAGCGGACATGGTGCGGTTTTGATTCTGATTCCTGCTGCCCCTGCGTGGGAGGGAGGCATTAGTATGGCTGATCGCCAGGGCCACGACCAGAAGTGGTAATAAGAGCTGAGCTATCGATCTCATCCTAAGGCGTTGCGATCGAAGTCGAGTTTCGCGAGCAACTGAGCCCAAAAGCGGCATACGCACCCAGCTTTAAAGAGCGACGAGGACGGAAAGCCGCTGCTCCGGCTGCTGCGACCCACGATCGCAGCCGATAAACCAATGAACCTGTTTAGCATTATAATCCGCGCTCTATCTCTTTCTCTAAATGGGTATTCTCAAGCCTGCGAGCAGCTGATATCGATCTCAGTTCTCTTCTACCGCGTATAAGACGCCAAACTGGTTTGGAAAAGGTATGAACACTTTAGTTTTTATAAAGATTCTTAAAAAAACCCGACGTTGATAAAGTTATTTCAGGAACAAAAATTAACTTTGTCTTAAAATAAAGTTAAATAAATAAGTCTAAGTTCTCTTAATATAATAAATAAAAACAAACATGCATGTATTGCATATTTTTAAACTTCAAAATTTAATATATGTTTTGATCAAAATATATAGACATTCATTTCAGTGGAAATGCGATTACATAAACTCTGCAAATTTAGAAAATATATTTTTTATTACTATTCACAATATTTATGAAAATGTTCAAAGTTTGCTATTTAAACACGCTCAAAGTCATTAGGGTTATTTAATCGCTATCTCAACACTCGAGGCCCCCCAGATTTATGGCGAAATTCCGAAAACAAAACCTTTCAGATATGTTCACATCTAATCACTTTTCCACGACTCATTCAACACTTTTGACAATTTGATGCTTTTCTTCGCATTGTTTATGGTAGGGAATGGAAAAAACCCACTCTGAAAGTTTGATATTAATTACAATTGCGTTCAATGTCACAGAAAAACAAACTATCACTCTTAAAAGCTCTCTTAAATAAAGGGGATTACAGCAGCCACGGTCGTAAGAGAATAAATATTTTTTATTAATATATTCTTTACACTACAAAAATTATCAACCACCAAACTGGCACGCCGAGAATAATGAACTGAAACTTTTCTCGCGTAGTCAATAAACTAAAGCTCTTTTCAATTGCTCTCGACCACTTTAATATTTTCTCTTGATATACTCTCTCTTTCTCGCACTCTTACCGTGAGATCTATAGAACTAGAATACTTTTCAGCTTTGCGTTTGCCGCACGACTGAATGATCGGAACCCAAAGCTTAAGCCTTATATAGGGCCTCATATCGCAAATAAATTATCAGTTCCAAAAAAGAGTTAATAGATGATAATATATTTTTTGCCGAAAAGTCATTAAATATACATAGGTAAGGTTGGGTTAACCGAAATCGACTACGTTAAATATTTCTTTTTATATATTTTTATAAAAAATCATATATTTAGAAAGACGTTTTATGAAATAATGGAACAATTTTTAAAATAAAGCCAAATTTTTAAATTTTTATAAATTGATACCAATGATACCAATATCATTTTGTAAGATTATCCGAAACGACTTTAAATCTCAGGTAATGTTATATACCCAATGAAAAAGTTTATTTAGGTATAAACATATTATTATTGGGCTATATTAACCGCAATTCCAGTCTTATCAGCAGAACGATCGACGACTCTCCCACTCTTCTTCTGATTAGACCCGTGATTTGCCATCCCTTTTCTTCGTTGCACACTGAGCTCTGCCTCCTCCTCTTAGTCCGTCTCTTTCCAGCTGCTTATCGCGCTGCGTTGTGTCATGGTTTCTTATCGGTGCGAACGAGACGGGCGCGGAACTCTTTAAGGGAGTGAGCAGTTGGGAAAGCTGCGCGCCTGCTCGAAATACCAGTTGGGGACTTTTCCCATGTGCTCGCATGCAATTTCCAATTGGAATGGGCAGCACCGCAGTTGGAGCCACTGGAGGAGCAGTGGAGCCATTTAGCCATGGAGCCACGGCGCTGGAGCACTGGAGGCGGTTGGAACGTTGTGGAACCTACACGACCAGCACTATTTCGCAGTTTAGTACGTTTTTTTGTGAGCGGATCTGCTCAAATTTTGTCCGCAGAGCAGCAGGCGCTCAGCGATGGCCAACGCAGACTCACTCACATCGCCGCCGTCCCCATTTTTTTTTGTTGGACTCTTTTTTGTCTGTGTGAAAGCGGCGGCAAGAACCGTTCGCGTTGGCGTTAGCGTCGCCTTCAGTGCTGCGCGGTTTGGCCAGAAACTAGCTAGAATTTGGTTTTCCATTAGCAAAAGTATTAACTTGGCATTGCGTATACGCAGCATAAGAACTATTGCCTACTTATGGGTAGTATGTGCTAATAGTTCTCTGGGTATTTGAAACTTTCATAAATTATTTATAAACTTTCTTTAAATATTCTTTATTTGTTTTCTTTAAATAAATAAATTAATAAAATGTTGTTGCTTAACATCAAATTCATATACGCAAAAATACATAATAAATTCGCATTAAGTATACGTCGTACAAAAAATATGGCATACTTTTAGGTTGCAATTGAATAAGTAATTTTCCTTAATTCAACCAAGGACCAAGAATGGCCATTGTTATAAGGTCTTATATGACTGATTAGTTCAGATAGAAGTTCTACGAACTGTGTTGGCTGCACTGAAAGTTTCGGCTCTTCCTCTTCTTTTGGAGATTTGGCCCAGACACTGCACTTTGCCTAATTGAAAACGAAACGGAAAACACGAACCAAGTTTTTAGCGCTTTATGCGAGGGTGGATTTTTTCGTTGTCGTGACGCTGCGTCGTGTGTTTTTTTCCCCCACTACGCTTTATTTTCTTCATGCTTTGTTCTTTTGTTTCGTGGTGATTTTCTTGTGCGCTCCAGCGGTAGAGCGTCAGCAGAGTGGCGCACATTGTCTGCTTTTCTCGTTTTTATGCTTCCCTGTTACCAAAACACGATGCGTCATTTTGACTGACGTAACCGGGAGACAACATTCCAATTGGAGACAGCTGTCTATCAGACGCGACCGTCGTCGTTGTTATCGTTATCGTTTTCTTTGTTGTTGTTGTTGCTTTTGGCCTGGACGTCGTCGTCGGTGGGGCGTTGTCGTTTACCGTTACGTCTGCCGCCGGCATTGCCAGCGCTAAACTGCGGTTTGGCGAACAAGTAATCAGCAACTGATGACAGCAGACAGCCGCCCAAAAGAGAATGAGTGGGGCAGAGGCAGAAAGAGAGAGAGAGAGAGATATAGAAAGGAGAGAGAAAGGCGGAGGAGTAGCGGTGAAAATGTAACTGCGATGAAAGCTGCGGGAATTGCCTCAAGTGGCCATCGCTCTCGATCTCGCCTCTGCAGCACTATATTAACCCCCCAAGCACACACATTTAAAATAGGGACCATCGAGACCCACAGTTCGAGACCCAACAAATGCAAAAGGTTACTATTTAAAATCAACCACAAATTTGTCTACAACTTTTAGACTAAAAGTGAGCTGTTTAATATAATACGCCTTCTTTTTAGATATCTATCGCACTTTCATCAACTTCAAATTAAAGTATTTTAAAAGAAAATAGTAATGGTTTAAATACAAACTTGTTTTTTCTTTTATAAAAGGTTTCGTATGTAGGTACATAGTTCAAATTCACATAAATGTATAATTTTGTGATTATATAATATTTTTTGCTTTAACTAGTATTTAATTGCCTTTAAGAAACCCTTAGAAGATACATTTATTTTAATACTCGGCAAGGGCAAGCGACGTCCCCTCCACATTTTAGCGGGTTAAAGTCAAATGTCAAGGGCAAGTTGCAGACACCTAAGCAGCATCCGAAAACATCTCCATACCGCTTGCAGCTTATTCTGCTTGCTTCATATTTGGCGACAGAGCAGCGGGAATCGCAAATGGCGACCGAGCGACAAAGCTGCAAAGCGAAGCGTCGCGCACTCCGCGCAGGCGCCTTCAGACCGCCCAACTCCGCCGCCAACAAAGAAGGAAAGAAAGATGAGGGTGGAGAGGGCCCAGAAAAAAGTGGTCGAGCGTCACCGATTTTTATAGTGTAGGCTCCCTAAAATTGACGCGCAACATTGAGGCAGGTCCCTCTACGCGATACAATGGAACAGGCGACCAGAGTCGCCGAGCAACAAGAGAAACCGACGAAAGAGAAAGAGAGAGCAGCCCCAAAGCAAGCACACGATGTCTGCGAGTGTGGTGGTGAGCCCCAAGTCGATGGCGGTGCCTACATACGTCACAGCTCTATACATGAGGAGCTAAAGAGCGGGAGCGGAGCTAAGGCTAGCTCCACTGCAAAAGAGAGGGCGTGAGCTCCAGCTGATGGAGAGAGTCAGGGAGAATTGGAGAGCGTGGGAGTTGATGCGCACATGCATTTGTACATATGCAGTGCACTCTCGATATAAAGAAAACTGAACTTACAAGGTTTGATTTTTGTATTTGTATAAATAATTAAACTTTCTTTAAAGGTGTTATGATTTGTGCCATATTTGTACATACTGGGTTTTTTCGAAAAAGTCATGCCAGCCTAAAAAAATCTAAAGCTTAAAAACAATGTCACAGAAATATTTTCCAACCATCTTAAGTTATATGAATTTATAATAATATAAATTATACAGTTACTCCTAAGTTTCTTCCCAATTTACAGTTTTTCCAGCGATGTAGCTCTTGCATCTTTGTTGGCATTGTAATGATGTTAGCATTGACTGACGTCAGGCACGGGTCGTAATTTACATGTCTCTGTTACCTGTTTTTGTTGTTGCAGTAGTCACCGTTGTTTACAGCACAAGATAATTATGGGAATGCAAGTGTTTTGTTTTCGCTGCTTTCGCGGTTAAAGAATTGAGAACGCGTCCAGGGTTAATGGAAAAGTGGGGGTGGTCATGGGGAAATAGGTCATACGTACCACATAAATCAGACAAGAAAAACTATGCTTTCTTTTGAAATAAAAAATAAAATACATCCATTGTTTTTGACAGACTTTAACTTTTTACAAATAATTCTATTGTCCCTTATAGTGTTGTGTTTAGAGTAGTCTTATCATTGTCGAGTATTCAATGATTTATTTCCAGTTTACCATTTGAATCAATTTTATAACAATTTATTAATAATTGACTACAGCGCCGTATGAAATGCCGTAATATCTCTATCTGCTTCAGATCAATGAAGCTCCTCCAACTCGTCTAACATATCAATTTCATGTTGCACTTCGTTTTTGATACGGTCAAGTACCACCAAAAGCGATACCAATCGCCAGTATAATACGGAATCGTTGGAATCGTTTCTGAAGTTGGAAGCAGTTTCTGAAGTTAGACGAGCTACTGTATCCCGCACGGTTTTAAGACTGGCCTGAAAGGCCTGTGCCTCGGCCAGTGTCTTCACGTCGCTTGAGTGTTTATGCATTAGACTGTTGCAAAACTGTAGAATAGGTAAAAACATGGGACGACCTTCGGGAAATATAACGCTGTCTGAGGATCTGGGTGAAGAAGACGTGAATGAGGCCAAAGAGGTCCCTTCACAGTAGTATGTATCACATATCGCAGTTGTTATAGGAAAAGTGGGTTGTGGGTAGGCGCCCGTCAAGGCCAACCACCTGCCTGCAGGACCCAGAGATTTCTCCACAGAACTTGCTGCCACGCGAGCCAAGTTCTCATTAGACGTACTCTAAGTAGTACGATGGTGCATATGGATAAATAAGTTTATGCAATTTTGTTTCCAAATACTCACCGTTTCCTCTTGAACAAGACACCTATTCGAATAAACTGCCATCTTTACTTTTTTGGGGAACGCTAGAATTTTATTTCACACGAATTAATGTTAGAAGAGGTCGACATTTGTATTATGGAAAACAACAATGACATTTATTCTAATGCCGACCAGATCACATGTTATTTTGATAAAACAATGCAGTGCGGACAGATAATCTTGTAATTGGCCCATAGAACAGTGGTTGCTTTGAGGTTCAACGACTAATCGACATAATGCTTACTAATCACGTAATTTATACTATGTTCCTGGAATTTTAAAAATGAAAAAAGGTGGTTCCGTTATAAAACACAATGTAATGTTAGTCCGTAACTAGCTTTTGGCCTTCGCTATATAAATCAGGGATCACTGATATTTTCGCGCACAACAATGTTTACAAGCCTGCTGATTCTCGTTCTGGGCTCGACCACAATTTTGGCCACTGACTACATCCTGGTGGTGGAGGATCCGGACATCTACACGACATGCAGGGACGGACCTCCCGGGTCCCAGGGACTCAACGAAGCCTTCGATACAAGCAAAATGGTGGCAGATATGGACCCAGACGGAATTCATGTTTCCGGGAACATTACATCCAAATGGAGTTTACCGCGAACAGATCGAATTTCCGTAAGGCTTTTTCGACCTAGCTGTTCCACACTTTTGGCTGATTTATTTTATTTTATTTTAAGGCCAGGATGAGTGTGATGCACTATAACCGCGGAAGCTGGGAACCGACTGTATTTAACTCCCTCACGCCCGACTTCTGCGCCTCGATGTTTGACCCCAATAACTTTTGGTTTAAGTACTGGTTTAAAAATTTTGACAATCGCGAGGAGATACAAGAGAAGTGCCTGGCAACGGCCGGCGTGAGTATTTTAATTTTGGTCTCGATACGCAAGGCTTTTTCGAAACGGATACTCTTTTCAGACCGTTTTGGTGTATAACCCATTCACTGTTATTCCGCAACTAAATAACGTCATGGGGCCCACTCTCACAGGACGCTATAAGGTGGTTTTCATGTTCGAAGCATTTGACGAAAAGGACGTAAGACGACCAGAATCCGTGTGCTTTGAGATCACAGGCGAGGCTGAGAAAATTAAAAAGTAATACCTACAATTAAAATAATAATAATAATCCTACGAATTACGAATATGTATTCTTAATTTTGTATTAAATGGGTTCGTGTTATATAACCTGGCTTGCAAAATAAATCCTTCCGACCTTATAAAACAAATATTTCATTAATTGAAGTACAAATTAATTCAATTATCTCTTTATAAAAACTGTTTTTACTATACTCTGGTATTATGGATAAAACAGATACATCTTAGCAACTAAATATTAATATACAAATTAGAAGTGTCTACGAACTTCAGCCTATAGTGTCCCACATACTGCATGATTTTCTTATAGCTAGAACGCATCGCACATCCGGTAGGGACCATGTCTCCGCAAATCTGATACCACTGGTATAGCAACCATTAAATGTTATTGACAAGCAACATTACACGACAGTTCTTATATAGACCATTAAAAAACTGAGGACTGTGGAGTTCCCTGTATTCAACAGCCGCCCTTGATCCAATTATAAGCAATTCATGTTACTACTTTTTCATACTGTACAATGTACATACAAATTAACACGAAAATACCTAACAAATATTGAATGTTCTAATGATGGCATTCCAGATAACGTACAATGTTACGTTAATCAGTAATGAGGACATCTATTTCCGCCAATTTAAGTGGCTATATAAAGTCGGATCATATATTTTTCGGAAGACAAAAATGTTTGCAATTCTTCTGATTCTGGCCGTGGGCCTGCGCAGCGCTTGGGCGACGGACTACAATATGCTGATCGAGGATCCCGAGGTCTACTCCCCGTGTATTGATGGCCCGCCTGGTTCAATCGGCATCACCGAAGCCTTTAACATGGATAATATGGTTTTCGATCAGGACGAAGATGGCATACATATTTCGGGGAATTGCACGACTAAGTGGAGTTTACCGCGAACCGATCGCATTTCCGTAACTGATTGCATTTAAAATAAGAACTACTTGACTCAATATTATTCGCACTTTCAGGCAAGTTTCAGGATAATGCATTACAACCGGGGAAGCTGGGAGCCAACTGTACTAAGCCAGGTCACTCGGGACTTTTGTTCCGCCTTTTACCACAAGGATCAGTACTGGTACAAGTACTGGTTCCAAAACGTTGCAAACCTGGAGGATATAAAAACGAACTGTATTGCAACAAAAGATGTTGGTATTGTAATTGTTATGCCTTGTTTTCGTCACAAAATGATTTTCTATTTTAGACCACAATGGTGATGAATCCGTTCATTATGCATTTGCGTTTGAATAACATCAATGGCGCTTCTTTCCGAGGACGCTATAAAGCTGTGTTTCACATTGAAGCTTTCGACGAAAAGAACCAAAGGCGCCCGACATCTCTATGTTTCGAGATCAAAGGTGAAATAGAAAGGGTAAAAGACTAACATAAGTATATCCTTTGAGAGTAAAGATACATTTTTTTTTTGGTTTTTTTGTTCTGTATAATATTTTGGATGGTGATCATGAAGGTTTAATAAACCATATATACAATTTTTGGATATTAATACTTGCGGTTCATTTATTCATCTCTTGTCGAACAGTATTATCGATGATACCTGGGCCCAAGAGCGGTGTAATGCATTTAATGCTTTTCACCGGTATAGTGTTTCATTAAGGTATACTTCATACTTCTTGGCGATTTTAAAAATTGAACAAGAAAGGAAGCTACCTTCGGCCATCCGAAGCTTATATACCCTTGTAGATAAAAGAATACTCACTCGGTGCAGTTCCAGGGATTCCAGATTCAGCGTTTCGATTTATTTCAATTTTGTTTTTAAGTAGTCAAGAATCAAAACGCCTACTTCCTACAAAGTTACAATGAATTTTCTTATATTTGATTGGGAGCCTTAAGATATAGTGGTCCGATCTGGCTGGCTCCGACATATGTACTACCTGCAATAGAAAGAAGACCTTCGGGAAAGTTTCATCGCGATAGCTTTAAAACTGAGAGACTAGTTCGCATAGAAACGGACAGACGGACAGACGGACAGACGGACAGACGGACAGACGGACATGGCTAGATAGACTCGGCTATTGGTGCTGATCAAGAATATATATACTTTATGTGGTCGGAAATGTCTCCTTCACTGCGTTGCAAACATCTGACTGAAATTATAATACCCTCTGCAAGGGTATAAAGATTTGTTTTCAACAAAATTGAATGTAAAACTGAATGTACATTTTTATACCCTTGTAGAGGGTATTATAATTTCAGTCAGATGTTTGCAACGCAGTGAAGGAGACATTTCCGACCACATAAAGTATATATATTCTTGATCAGCATCAATAGCCGAGTCCATCTAGCCATGTCCGTCTGTCAGTCTGTCTGTCTGTCCGTTTCTATGCGAACTAGTCTCTCAGTTTTAAAGCTATCTTTTCCAAAACTTTTCCAAAAGTCTTCTTTCTATTGCAGGTAGTACATATGTCGGAACGAGCCGGATCGGACCACCATATCTTATGGCTCCCATAGGCTCCCAAAAAAATAGAAAAAACATTGTAGAAAGTAGGCGTTTTAATTTTTGACATTGTAAAAACAACATTTTAAGTAGGCAAACCTGCAAGGGTATATAAACTTCGGCTAGCCAAAGTTAACTTTCTTTCTTGTTTTTTTTAAACAAGACTTAAAATTGAAAGTTTTTCTCCTGAGACCCTGCTCAGCCCTTGATGATCACCTAAAAAGTAAAATAATGATAAATATAATTTTGATTAGGTAATAATTCAAAGCACAGATCATCCAACTTCGTGCAAATAGAACTGGCGATGACACCTGAGATTACGAATGTTAATCCAAAATTACCTCTAATTAGCTATGGATTGATTGGCAGTTAATGTTAAGGTTAATCCAAAATTACCTCTAATTAGCTTTGGATTGATTGGCAGTCGCTATATAAGGCCGGAACAATAAACTTTTTGAATTAAAATGTTTAAAATTCTATGGATTCTCGCTGCGGTGACCAACATTTGGGCCACAGACTACAACGCGATCATTGAGGATCCGACGATCTACACGCCATGTGAAAACGGGCCACCTGGATCGGTTTTCATCCACGACGCCTTCAACATGGACAATATGAAATTGGACCTGGAGGAAGACGGCATCCATGTTTCGGGAAATGCCACCGTCAAATGGAATTTCGATCCTACCGATCGGATTTTAGTTAGTTCACTCCATCTAAAATGAGAATTAAAAACTAAAATTGTTTCTACTTTCAGTCCAGATTCAGTGTGATGCAGTTCAATCGTGGTTCCTGGGAACCGACAGTATATAATGTGAACAATCCAGACTTTTGTGCGACGATGTTTGACAAGGATCAATACACATATAAGTATTGGTGGAAGTATGTACGCAACCGCGAGGAGATACAAGAAAAGTGCATTAAAATTAAAGATGCAAGTATGGCCATTGTTGTAGCTACTTGTCTTGAATGCTTTTAATTTTAGACTGTTCTGGAATTTGATCCGTTCATCATGGTACTGCAACTAAACAATATCCGCGGTGTAGATCTAAGGGGACGCTATAAAGCAGTGGTTTCTTATGAAGCATTCGATAAAAATAATGTTCGGCGACCGACGTCTTTATGCTTTGAGATAAAATCCGAGCTTGAGAAGATTAAGACATAACAATAATTACTTTCCGAATGCAAGAACTTCGATTTTGTACGTAATGTATTGTACCTATTCTATTATGTTAACCATTTAATCACATATATACATGTGAATATAATAACCATAATGCTGCAAAATTAAGGAAACAGAGTTTTAAATTTTATCTAGAAGAGGATGTCCTGTACCAATGACAATAGTGCAAATGATGATCTTGATCTTTAAAAATGATTTACACAAATGTCGTCCCATTACGAACGGTGTAATACACAGTGCAAAACGGAAAATGTAACCGCAGTTATCATCAATACGAGTTCTTCTGGCTTAGCTCGCGTTTGGATATTATAGCGATTTAAAGATTTGGTGTAAAAATTGATACATATTGAGCCAATTCAAGTTTCAACATTATTTTAGGTAAAGTCATTAAAAGGAACAACAAGTTATTACATTTGGTTAAAACAGTGAATATAAAACTGTAGACACAAAAATTTATGTGAAACATAGCATTTACTATTAAAATAGAATCTGGAATTTTTCCCGAAATTTTGAAGCCTATCTCATGATAGCTGCACTTTTTCTATAAACGTTGTTCTGCAGTTTTATTCCTTAGATCAATACCTATAATAATCCTGAATACATGCAAATAAACTTTCATTCGTCTCTTGAGACTTAGGCAATTTTTAAATAAAATTTTTAAATCGCAATAAGCTAAGCTGTGATGAGTACTTTCAGTCTCTGCACAGTAATAACAATATGTAATTATCTATAACAATTTGATCCAAAATGCTTTACAGATGAAACAACTGCAGTTAGGAAAGATGTTCTTTGTACACGCGAATACCGTGTTAATATTTCAGTTAACATTTTTGTTCATTATTTGTAAGTAGAACGACATTCTTGGTTTTTGTTATATGTACATTAGGGCGTTCCAAAAAATGAAATTCTTTTCTCACCCCTTAACATGGTATATTAAAGTATGCAAAAAATGTATGTGAAAACAAAACAATTTTTTTTCGAGATTTAGACCTTGCGAAACGTCTTCAAAGTTTGCTTTAAAATTACTCATACGATATGTATAACAGTTCGAATTTGGTCGAAAAAAATCTCTCTCCCATTTCTTGTCTTGTCAAATTATGAATTTCGTTGGAATAATTGGTAAAAAAAAGGAGAGCAAACTATCATCAATTGTTGATATCTATGCCACCTTGATCAGAAAAACTTTTTGATCGAAGGCAACAGTGCGTATGGGTGATAAACTTTGAAACCAATTCGCAGACCCTAAAACACGATTTTTTTTAAAATTGTCTTTTGGTATACCTTGAATACCACAATGCCCACCGTATAAGCGGGTGAGAGTAGGACCTTAAAAATTTCAATACATATGTAGACCGCCCTAATGTACATACAGTCGACTTGGGAATTACGTTCGGAGCTGAATACATTCTTTCAACACATTCAACACCATCACCCCAAGAAAACTAAGCCAAGAACCGACAGTATGGACAAAAAACACTTCAAAATGGCTTCTTCTGGCATATCCACTTCCGGTAAGGGCGTTGAACCAAAAAAGTACTCACCACAGGCGTACAGGGAGAAAATCAGTAGCTTGTTTCCGCTTCCGCCGAGACCGGCTGACATGTGTCACGATGCGTTCGTTAAGAAGCTCCTGGAGCCATATGTAATGGAGGCCCGAAAGGAGATTCGAGCCGTGAAGATGACCCGCGATTCCAGCAGCAGCTCTGAGGAGGATCCGAACGAGGCTTTCCGGGCGAGGATGTACAAGACGGACTACTCGGCACGAGCCTCTACCTACATGGCCAGGGCCACTCTTACCGGGAGGATCAGTGCCAAGTCGATTCTTAGTCCCCAGCAACGCGATTCAGCCGCCATGACGACCCAAATGTTCAAGGTGCGCTTCGCCAATCTGATATCCGACTTCCGGAACGTGTGCATCATCTACCAGCTGCTGCAGCTGCAGGAGATCCTCAACGTGATGCGAGAATATCCGCCGGCCGGCACCAATCCCAATGACACCATATTCGGCTGGTCCTACAAGAAGAATCTGAAACGGTTCGAACAGCAAACAAACACCGTCTATGTGGACATTCTGGAGAAGAATAGAACCGAGGCCACGCTCGATGAGCTCAAGTTCTATGTGGATTTGGGTGAGCTAATTGGTCTGGTGCAAGCCCTGCTGGACGATGTGATCAACGATAGAGATCTATGCGCCCCACATGGCTTCATGGAACTCCTCAAGTGAGTCAGCAGTTTTAAATATAATAAAAATATTTTAAATTAATTTTTCCAAACCTAATTAACTTGGAAAATATTCGAACCTTTATTGCATACTTTAAGGTGTTTGCTTAAAAGATTTAAATATTCGAAAATGTACACTGTATTACCTATTATAAATAAGTAAAGATAAATATATACCTTAGAGACACCCAAGTGGACTTAGACAAGCTAATTGCAGTACCCTACGAGACAATTATGGCCGAACACGACTCTTTAGTTGAGGAGAATGGAAAGAAGAATCGGGCTGGAAGATTCCACAACCCTAAGTTGACGGCCAAGCAGCAGATCCTTAACAAAGAGCGATTCCAGATTGACTGTGAGTTGTTGAACACTTTGGGGCCTTATTCTTACGTGTATTTTGTTTTCTTGCACAGACATGAGCCCCATAGAATCCCGCTATAGAGTAAATTGGACGCACGATAATGTGGAGCAGGGACAGTATACTGACTTCCTTCGTTGTAAGGTTTGTGCTTCTTATAACAGGAGAAGATTTCTGATTTCTGTAGTTTATCAGAATAAAAACATATCACTGTTTAATTTAGGTGTTTTCCGATGAATTGGACAAAATTGAAGACCTCACACGTAAGGACTCGCATGTGTGGAGGAGCTGCCATTTGGAGTATGTGACCCTGATCGAGCAGTACAAGAATCGCATTAATATGGTCCAGCAGGCCTACGATGACGATATGGAAACGGCCGAAAATATGCTACAAGTCACCATCAGCAAGGTGAACAAATGCAAGGACGACCTCAAGTTATACAACGAAAAAGTGGAGGACTTTCACCAGAAAATCCAAGAGGTGCGCGATAAGATAGCAAAGGAGGTGGAGAAGGAACGAGCGCGTTTGTCAGCGGTAAGTAAATGAAAAATAATAAAAATATTGGTATAAAAACATTATTCACAGGCACGAGCTTCTAAGAGAATGTCCAGGATATTGGCGAAGCAGAAGGAGGAGAAAAAGGCCGCAGCTAAGCAGGCCAAATTGGAAAAAAGGCTGGCAAGGCGAAATAAAAAAGCGGAAGAAAAAACTGAAGACTAGTATCCTTTCTGTACAACACTTGAAATACCCTTTATCGATTCTTGAAAAATACAATAATGTTTATACATTGAAATTTGTTTTTATAACTTTTTGTCTACAATAAAATTTATTAATTCCAGAAACTAAATTTGTATATAGATATATGTTGTATATAGTTCTGTAATCTGTTTAAATTTCTTTGCTTGACATAAAATAGTTGTTCAATATATGTAGATCAAATATCTTTCGCCCCAGTTCTGTCTGTCTCTCTGTCTTACTTTCTAACACATTGCCCTGTTTACAGCATTTTCGGTCTCACTAATTAATAGATATACATATACATAACTCTACACTAGATACATTATATTCAATTTTGTTGTTTGATTTGGAAGAAAGGGGTCCATTTAGAAACTAAAACTTTATACACATGGTTCAACAGAACGAAATTGGCGCAAGAAAACAATAACTTAGATTACTGATTAGGACTAACAAACTAAACAAGTAAATGGCTTAGTCTAGGAGTAAACTTTAATTATAATAACCAACTAGTTTTGCATAATATCAAAATGAAAACCGCTCACAAAGTTAACACATAAAACACATGGTTTCCTTACACATAATTTGGTTACGTCTGTTACTAAAACTAAACATTAATCAAGCTGAGGATTACAGGATGAGGGATATCCGAGTGGGCTGCTCCTTAATTGTTTGCGGGCGCCGTGCGCAGCTTGGCCCTCATGTTCAGATACTCGGGATTCACGTACTGCCGCTCCTCGGCGTCCTCCTGATCCTGTTTCTGGGCCGCCGCCTCGTGCTTCTGCGCCCGCTCCATGATCACGCGTCCGAGTTCCCCTTTCAGTCCGGGAATCCCGCCGACGATTTCCGCATCCGGCGAATGCTGCTCGGCAGCGGCATGCCGTTCCTTCTGCTTGTCGTAGGCACGTTGCAGTTCCGATTTCTGGTTCAGCACGCTTTTTCCACTACACAAGAATTTAATTATTAAAACATTTATTTTTTGAAGAATACTTACAATAATTCGCTAAACTGTTTCTTTGTATCTGTTTAGAACTGATTTTAAAACCCCCCATCTTTAAAAATTATAAATTTTTATTGGATAAGTTAACTATCCTGAATGTCCTTGACAATTGAGCGAATTATTTACATATTAACACAACTACAACTCACACTCTGGCATTGAACTTGAGCTCCCGATGCAGTTCCTTGCGATCAATGTTCTCCATGCAGGGATTGATGAGCTTCTTGGGCAGGATCAGCCCATCGGAGTCCGTCTGGACGCCAGTGGGCGTGGCCGGCGGGGAGCTGGTCATGGACATCATCGTTCCGGCCGCGTTCTCAGCCTCCGCCAGACTGTGCCTGAAGTCGGTATCTGAAAGATAGATGCAGAGAATTTAACGATTAGTGAATGGATTCGCATTCTTTCCCACTCGGCGACTACAGGGGAAAAAATTTCTAGCTAGTTGATTATGAAAAATGAATTTCCCATGACAATAAAAATGTTTTGTTAAAAACAACCTGTTGTCACAGATCCGAGTAATTACAGAATAACTTCCAACTTTTCTTCCAGTTCATATGATCTTTTTTATTTGATCTCTTCAACTTTTTACAAATCTGATCAAATAATTAATTTGTTCAGTGTACCTCTGGACGATGTCCCCATGTTTGACTGTGCCAAAGTTTAATTGGCACTTGGCCTTCCCCTCACAAATCAGTTCGGGCCTTAACCACCCAACAATGCACACAACAACCGCTCGAGAACCCAAGAAAACCAAACAAAAGACGTCTAAAGCTTCGTTGTCTTGGTCGTTTATTAAGGTTAAATATTTCTCCCCATTCATGTCATTGTCAATTTGTTATTACAAAAAAAGAACAGCATACAACAACAGCTGTAAAACCGTAAAAAAAAATTATGAGAGGCAGAGGAACAGAAACTCGATTCAAGTCAGCGGTAAAGTTCTTTCCGACTATATTCTCCTCGTTCTGGTTCTGCTGTTCTTTTTGTAAATTTCTCACTGAACCGTCACCAGCGATGAACTTCTTTTGTTCACCCATCATATTAACCCACATCGCGGCGAACTAGTTAGTAGCTCGAAGCCCAAAACCTAAACTAGATTAATAGCCGATGATAAGGGACAGAGTGAAAATAAATAAAAAAGAAATAGCGCTGAAGGGGCAATGACATGGCTGAAATGGCTTCGCAGCGGAGATGAAAATCGCAATGAGTTCAGTGGGTACAATTTTTAGCAGAATTTGCTGACTGGTGCACCAGGGAACTGTGCCAAAAAGTCACAATTTATATGGGATTAAATTTGTATAAATCAGGGATAATTTAGGAAATGAAAATGGGAGCATCTTAATAAGTTTGAGCTTAGGCCAAATTTACAATAATTAAACATATGTAGCATTGTTAGATTGTAATCCAAACAATTGAAACTGAAGTAACAAAAAGTGGACCATCGTTTTTAAGCTAAACTTAACAAATAACAAGAGAGAACGCTATAGTCGGGTTGTTGTCCCGACTATCTAATACCCGTCACTCAGCTAAAGGGAGTGCGAACGCTGTGTCGGGTTGGTGTCCCGACTAATAATCGTAACTCAGCTAAAGGGAGTGCGAGGGAGATAGATATATAATTTTTGATTGCGTATAACTTTTTAATGAATTGTCCGATTTGAAAAATGTCTTCTACATTTCGATAGGTATAAATATACACAACAAAATTGCATTTATACTTCTCGGAAATCTTTAAAGATGTGATCGCAGGACCCATTTTAAAATCGTTAGTGGGCGATTGTGGGCGTTAGAGGGGGCGTGGCGCTCGGCTAAAATAAACTTGCGCTGCGTAGAAAGCCAAAGAATATGTGTGGGAAATCTCAACCTTCTAGCTTTTGTAGTTTCTGAGATCTCAGCGTTCATACAGACGGACAGACAGACAGACAGACAGACGGACAGACGGACAGACGGACAGACGGACAGACGGACATGGCTAGATCGACTCGGCTAGTGACCCTGATCAAGAATATATATACTTTATGGGGTCGGAAACGCTTCCTTCTAGCTGTTACATACTTTTGCACGAATCTAGTATACCCTTTTACTCTACGAGTAACGGGTATAAAAAGTATATATAAAATTCCAAATCGCAGAGAGTGGAAATCACTTAAGGGGTTATTTAATTGTTTTCACTTTTATTGAACCATTAACTTTATTTACAAGTCATTCGAACCACATAATATAAATTGGCAAACTAGTTCACACGAGTCTCAACATTTCTTCGAGAGGGTTAACCAACCTTAATTGCCATCTCCGCTCAAAGTTCGCGTTCGACAATCAATCAATCAATTTCATCAGTGGCATTTCAGACAATCCAACTAAATTATGGTTGATTCAATGGAAAAACATTCAAGATTTGTACAACAAAACACCAAATCTCTTGTTGTCCGACTCTAATGGCCATGAAAACGCCGGTCTTCAGTGTTCAACCTCTAACATTCCGAAGCCCTCGGGCAAAATATGACAAAACCAGCTTTATCAGCGACTGCATTATGCTAATCAAGATGTCCCATATGTGGCCCAATCGGAAATCGCATACAAATCCGTTTTGATTGATTTTTCTTTGATTTCAAATAAAAATTTGCATTCGCCGACTCTGAACTCGTAATTTGCATTTACATTTGCAGCGCTGTCTGGTCTGTGTTATTCTGATAGTTTCGCTTGGATTGACCCAATGCAGCCAAGAAAGGGAATGGGAAATTCATGGAGGGAGAATTTAATTTGTGTAGATGTTTTTTAATACCCTTTGCAAGGATAAAGTACAAATTGGTACATGCACTTGTGTTAAGTTATTTTTGGAAAAATAACTAACAAAACCTAAACATAATTATTCAAATAATATAAAGATAATAAAATATTCGGCGATCCCTTAGAAATTGTGTGGGGATTTTTAATCACTAGAAAAGGGCCGTGTAAATCTAAAAAGTGAAAAATCTATATTATCCACTTTCCTTCTAAATTAGAATACCCAAAGTTGCGAGGGTATTTCAATCAGTTCCAGACGGGGCTTCACTTCACTTACGATGTCCATCGTCGTACAACAAGTTTTCACTTGCGCAATCGAGTGGTTCGACTCGCCAGACCCCCTCCTTAACCCCTTCACGGCCCACACTCGGTTAGAAAATTGTGCGCAACTCGCTTCCATGTGGGTTAATAAGTTGCACATGTGCTGTGGGGTTTGGGTGTGAAATTAACGCAAATGAAATAAACGGCGGAGTCTCCATAAGGGACCGGGACCCAGTCGAAGACCCAACCCCGTGGACAGACGACCACTCCACCCAGGCTAATTATATGCAATTTGTTTTCACCGAATGACCGGAGGCGACCCACTCTAAGCCACATATGTACATAAATCAAGACAACACTGGAGTGCATTGTGTACACAATTTATGATATGGCATAGGGCTCTGAATTATTATCAAGAGCGGTCTTCAAACGAAAGTTGTCTGAGAAGACAGTCTATTTATTTAACCGGGTTAAGGGACCAACTAGCCATGACAGCACAGTTAAGGCAAACCATTGTCATGGAGGGTTAACTAGCTCAGATCGTGCGATATGTGTCGCAAAGAGTAAAGGCAATTTTCTGTATCCCAATTCATATGATTCCAAATTGAAATTGCACCGAAAATATGGTTATAACTGTCTAATTATTTTACCATAATAAAGAAAAAATTTAAAGCCCCTTAAAGCTTTCACTTTAAATCCTTTTAGAGTTAAAAATGTCTTTGCATTTTTAAAAACATTTCCAACAAAATGTATTTCAACTAATTTAAACCCCAGACCTTTGAGCTTCTTTCAACCTTATCAGCCATGTGTGATGGCATGTCTTTTCCGAATTTTCTACACTTTTACCCGTGTTCAGTGGCAGTACTTAATCATTTTACACCATCGCCGAAAGCCATGTCGGTGGAAAACCAAAACAAAAAGAAATAGCCACGATTTCACTCACTCTGAGAAGTGTGTACCCCTTTTGTCTGCCTATAAGAATGGCTTGAATAGAGTGATGAATAAATGAACG